AAGGAAATCCCTAGTGTAAAAAATTACAGAAAATCTGATATCATCCTAAGTCCAAAACCACCCCGAACACCTCTGAAACACACTCCCGAGCCCTCGGGGCTCCTAACCAATCACACACCCTAACTCAATAACATCTTACGAACTTACTCGAGCGATCAAATCGCCAAAATAACCTCAAAATCATTGGATCAAGCCTCAAAATCATCATTTTCCTTTCAAACTTCATAAACTTCAAACTTTAGATATTTAGGTCCGAAACACGTCAAACGACGTCCGATTTCGACCAAACTTTACAGAAAGCGCTTAACACATATTTAAGACTTGTACCGGGCGTCGGAACCAAAATACGAGCCCGATACCACAGTCTTTTAATAAATTTTCATTTCAATTTTCCTTGATAATTTCAGAAAAATAATTTCACAGAAAAATTCATTTCTCGGGCTCTAGACCTCGGAATTCGACTCCGGGCACATGCCCGAGTCCCATATTTTTCTACCGACCTTCCGGGACCATCCAATCTCTAGTCCGGGTCCGTTTACCAAAAATGTTGACCGAAGTCAACCTTAAACATATTAATATCAAAAATCTTCAATTTTTTTACAGAATTCACATATTTCGACATAAAAGCTTTCTGGCTACGCGCTCGGACTGCGCACGCAAATCGAGGCAAGTAAAAATGAGGTTTTCAAGGCCTCGGAAGCACAGAATGAATGAGAAAACAGGTGATGACCCTTTGGGTCGTCACAATGTCGGAATTCGATAATTTTTGTATGGTTGAACTCGTATCGGAACGAGTATTCAGATTTTGTATGTTTTTCCGGGATTCATGACGTGGGCCCCACGGGCAATTTTGAGTTAAATTTCGGATTTTTAATGGAAAATGTAGAAATTCATCTGGAAGTAATTCCTATAATTTTTATTGACTGAATCGAATTGTTTATGACTAGATTTGAGAAATTCGGGCGCGAATTCGCGCAGCAAAGGCTTGTTGGAATTTTGAATTGGTTGCAAAGCGAGGTAAGTGTTTGGTCTAACCTTAGCTTGAGGGATTAGGAGTTGTGTCATAATTGTTATGTGTTATTTGTCGAGTACGACGTATAGGCATGGTGACGAGTATCTATACGTTGGTGTCAAGCATGCCCATGAGTCTTATACTTTGATTAATGTGACTCCTATTTGACTTAACTGAAGAGTTTTGCCTCTCCTATTGTTATGTTATATTTCATAACTACTTGACTCGTGTTTATTTCCTCATTATTGACTTGTACATTGTAGGATCGTTGCTACGTGTTAGTTTTCCCGTTATTGAACTGTTTCCTTTATGCCAGTATTCTTTTCTGTGGTTATTCCTTTGAGCTGGTTCCACCATTTTCTCGTGATTTACAGACCCTGAGTTGATTTACTTGTCGTACCTTGTATTATTGTCATTTTTTGTTGTTATATGTATTGTGGTGATGTTCGATCCTCTGTTGTGATGTAACTGTTAATTCTTTTGGTTGCGTTGTGTGTTTATTTGGGACTACGGATGTGGGATTCCGGTAGCTCCCCCTTATTTGTTTACTTTGGGACTACATGTTCGATTCCCGGGAGATCCCCCTGCACATTTACTTTGGGACTACGGGTTAGATTCACGGGAGATTCCCCCAGTACTGGGTATTTACATTTGGGACTACGGATCGGGATTCCGGTAGATCCCCGCGCATTATGAGTTGGACTACGGGACTGCACCCGGGAGATCCACTGGATATTTATATTTGGGGACTACAGGACGGTATCCTGGGAGATCCTCGGTTGTTATCTCTGTGCTGAGCTGTACTCCTTCCGTGAATATTTTGTCTCCGTTGTAATTGTTGTTATCAATTCAAGTGTTTTAATGGTTTAGATTCCTTTACGGCTGTGATCCTTTGTGTGGGAATTCATAGTGTTGACAGTACCTCGCCCTATTTGTTTATATATATTCAATACTTCAAATTTCAACAATTGTTATATTTTTAACTCAATTGATTTCTCAGCTAAATTTTCCTTAAATCGTTTGAGGTTGTACTTTACTTAAAAAGGAATTTCTTCTATGTTTTAATTTATTGATTTCTCATATTAAAGGTAACAATTCATTCGATATTGTACTTCAATTGAAAAGGGTATTTTCTTTATCAAATGATTTCTAAAAATAACTTCATCTTTTCTTGTTGATTTCCTAATTGGGTTGGGAGATGTACTCTACTTTATGTTAAGTGAATGAGTCTCCTTGAACATTCTTAATTGTATTGGGTTATGGAACCTATGAACTGAGTAATATGAGGATATTGATGTGCAATATGAGACAGAAATATGTGGGCACGAGGTGCCGTAAAAATATGAAAGTGGGCTGAGACCTATATTATTTATGATTATGAAATGAGGCGTCACAAGGTGACCTTTACTCGAAAGAATTATATTCGAAAGATGCGTACTTGTAAGATACTTATTTGAAGGAAATATATTCGAAATATATTTATTGAAAAGCATATTATCTTAGAGGTTATTACTTGAAGGATTTATAGGCGAAACATTTATATTTGAAGGACTCGATTAATTGATTGCACTTGTATTTATTATTTGTTGAAATGCATTTGTTGTGTTCTTGTTGCCTTCTATTTATATATCACTGGTTGATCATTGTTGCCATAATTGTTATCTGCTTCCTATTATTTTGTACGCCATATTGCACAGGTTTATTTGGTAGTCTGGTCCTAGCCTCGTCACTACTTCGCCGAGGTTGGGAATTGCAAGTTGTTTACAGAATTTCATTTGAAGTTAATAAATATCAATGTTATATCAGTAAATGTTAGGCTTACCTAGTTTAGAGACTAGGTGCCATCACGACTCCTTCGGAGGGATTTTTGGGTCGTGACAATAGTGGAACTGGTTTCGGCAATGAGAAACATTAAGGAAGCACGATTCGTGAGGCCGATGAGATCCTTGATTCCGTTTTATCTAGTTCGCTTATACTGGATCTTACGGAGCCTGCTCATCCTAGTCAAAGGGATCCCAATCAATGGTACAAGTATCATGGGTTTAACAACCATCGACCAGGGGACTACTAGCGAGGAGGTGGCGACATTAATGTAAAACGGTCATCTTAGAGTATTCCTAAACGACCGGGCTAAGAATAACTACGGCCGCAACTGGGATAGCGCGGAACCCTCAAAAGAAGGAGAAGATCCTCCTTGTCTAAAGGAGAATATCCTCCTTGTCTATCAATCAACATGATTTTCGAGGGGAACGAGATTAATGGTGTAACCGTTCCGGCAGCGAAAAAGACAAAGATATCGAAGACCCATAGCAAGAGACTATGGGAAGTCGCCGAGGACGATATCACCTTCACGGAGGAAGACGCAGATGGACTCCTACTGCCGCACAATGATGCCCTGGTAATTTCTCTTAATGTTTTAAATTTAAAAATTAAACGTGTTTTGGTGGACCCAGGGAGTTCAACCAACATTATCTAATGGAGAGTGCTGGAACAAGGCAAGCTAACCGGAGCATTATTCCAACCACAAAGCTCCTCGCCGGGTTCAATTTAACAAGCATAACAACCCGAGGGGAAATCCTGCTGCCCACGAATGCCGAAAGGGTGATGAAGACGACCCTTTTCGAAGTTGTAGACGGCGATATGGGTTACAATATTATTCTTGGAAGACCATGGTTGCACGAGATGAAGGCTGTGCCGTCAACATACCATCAACTTCTGAAATTCCCAACTCCGGAGGGAATTAAACAAATAAGAGAAGATCAACCGGCAGCAAGGGAGATGAACACGATCTTAGTTTCTAATAGCAAAGGAAAAGAGCATGCGACATAGCAATTACAGGAACCGACGCCTTCTCCCGAGCCAAACAAAGTCAACATGGGGAGGGGGGGGGGGAGTCGCGGAATCCTATCTGACACCAAGATATTTCCAGGTACAAGAATAAACGACGCAACCAAATCCACAGCAGAAAAACTCAAGCAAGTTGCATTGTTTGAGATATTCTTGGAGAGGGAGTTCCAAATGGGGACAGGATTAAACCCCGAGCTCAGGTCAGGATTTATAGAATTTTTTATATTTAACATTGACCGTTTTGCGTGGTCGCATGCGGATTGACAGGTATTTAGCCAGAGGTGGCCGTGCACAAGTTAAGCCTGGATCCTAACATCCCTCCAGTGGCAGAATAAAACGCCCTATTGCCGAGGTCAGAAAAAAATTTGTCAAAGAAGTGGTAACTCGATTGCTTGATATCGGTTCAATCTGGGAGGTAAAGTATCCTGACTAGCTAGCTAACGTAGTAGTAGTTCTAAAAAAGAATAATAAATTTCACAAGTGCGTAGATTATAAGGATCTGAATAAGGCGTGCCCAAAAGACTCGTTCCCATTGCCAAACATTGATCAAATGATTGATGCGACAACCATGCACGAGTTGATGAGTTTCCTTTATGCCTATTTCAGGTACAAACAAATCAAAATGAACCCGGAGGATCAGGAAAAAACTTCGTTCATAACAAACTTCGGCACATATTGCTATAATGTGATGCCCTTAGGGCTTAAGAACGTCGTAGCCACTTATCAGAGGCTTGTTAATAAAATGTTTGAAAAACAAATAAGGAAAACCATGGAAGCTTATATAAATGATATGCTGGTTAAGTCTTTGAATGCATGTGATCATCTTAAACACCTACAAAAAGCCTTTGACATCCTAAGGAAGCACACCACAAAGCTTAACCTCGAAAAGTGTGCAGTCGGAGTCAGCTCCGGTAAGTTTTTAGGGTTCCTAGTGTCACAAAGGGGGATCGAAGTCAATCTCGATAAGATCAAAGCCATCGAGGACATCCCCGACCATCTATCAGATGTGAAACAGGTTCAAAGGTTGATAGGAAGACTGTATGTTTTAAGCAGATTCATTTTCCGGTCTTCGGAAAAATGTCATCACTTCTTTTCACTTCTGAAAAAGAATAACAACTTCGAATGGACTACGAAATGCTACTATAACGACCCGACCAGTCGTTTCGAGAGTTGTAGCCCCATTTCCCATTTTCTGCTCCTATTGGTGGAGGAGAATGAAAAAGGATATAGTTGGGTTTGTATCTTGGTGTCTCAACTATCAGCAGGTAAAGTATGAGCATCAAAGACCGGGTGGTTTTCTTCAGAGGATAGAGATCCCAGAGTGGAATAGGGAGCGAATCACCATGGATTTCGTAGTTGGGCTCCCATGAACTTCAAGGAAGTTCGATGCTATTTGGGTGATTGTGGATCGGCTAACCAAGTCCGCATACCTCATTCCAGTGGGTACTACTTATTCTTCAGATCGGTTGGCTGAGATTTACATCTGAGAGATAGTTCGCCTTCACTGTGTGCCAATTTCCATCATTTCAGATAGAGGCACGCAGTTTTGGAGAGCTGTGCAGCGAGAGATGAGCACTCAGGTGGAGTTGAGTGCAGCATTTCACCCTCAGACAGACGGACATTTCGAGCACGCTATTCAGATATTGCAGGATATCTTACGCACTTTTGTCATTGATTTAGGAGGTTCATGGGACCAGTTTTTGCCACTCGTGGAGTTTGCTTACAACAACAGCTGTCAGTCGATCATTCAAATGGCTCCGTATGAGGTTTTATATGGGAGGCGGTGTAGATCTCCAGTGGGTTGGTTCGAGTCGGGTGAGGCTAGGCTATTGGGTACTAACTTGGTTCAGGATGCTTTGGACAAGGTTAAATTGATTCAGGAGCGGCTTCGCACGGTGCAGTCTAGATAAAAGAGCTATGCCGACAGGAAGGTTCGTGATGTGTCTTACATGGTTGGGGAGAAGGTTCTGCTGAAGGTTTCACCCATGAAGGGTGTTATGAGGTTCGGGAAGAAGGCAAGTTGAGCCCTCGGTTCATGTGGCCTTTTGAGGTACTTTAGAGGATCTGAGAGGTGGCTTACAAGCTTGCCTTGCCACCTAGCTTGTCGAGTGTGCATCCAACGCTTTTTCCCGCCTATCAGAAAGGCCCCCACCCATCTCTCTGACTTCAAAGAGCCGCTAAATAATGAGGTTCGGCATAGTTCATGTTTCTATGCTCCGAAAGTATGTCGGTGATCCGCCTCATGTTTCGTATATCAACACGGTTCAGTTGGATGGTGATTTGACTTATGATGTGGAGCCTGTGGCCATTTTGGATCGGTAGGTTTGAAAGTTGTAGTCAAAGGATATAGCTTCAGTGAAGGTACAATGGAGAGGTCAACTCGTTGAGGAGGCTACTTAGGAAATCGAGCGGAAGATGCGGAGCAGATATCCACACCTATTTTAGAATCCAGGTGTATTTCTAGACCCATTCGAAGAAGAACGTTTGTTTAAGAGGGAGAGGATGCAATGACCCGGCCGGCCATTTCGAGAGTTGTAGCCCCATTCCTTCATTTTCTACTCCTTTTGTATTCTACAACTGCTATAACTTACCGGGTTGGTTGGTTCGGGTCTGGAGAGATTTCAGAGTGAATTGAGACACTTAGTCTCTTAATTGAAAGCTTAAGCTGGAAAAATTGTTGGGATGTTGACTTATGTGTAAACGACATCGAATTTGAATTTTGATGGTTCCGTCAGCTCCGTTAGGTGATTTTGGACTTAGGAGCGTGTCCAGATTATGATTTGGAGGTATATAGTAGAATTAGGCTTGAAATGGCGAAAGTTGGAATTTTGGAAAGTTTAATCGGGAGTGGACTTTTTGATATCTGGGTCGAATTGGATTTTCGGAAGTTGGAGTAGGTTCGTGGTGTCATTTATGACTTGTGTGCAAAATTTGAGGTTAATCGGACGTGATTTGATAGGTTTCGGTGTCGTTTGTAGAATTTGGAAATTTCAAAGTTCATTATGCTTGTATCCGTGTGCAATTCGTTTTTTTGATGTTGTTTGAAGTGATTTGAGGGTTCGACTAAGTTTGTGTCGTGTTTTAGGACTTGTTGGTATGTTTGGTTGAGGTCCCGGGGGCTTCGGGTTGATTTCGGGTGGTTAGCAGACTTGGTTTGAGTTAGAGAAGCACCTGAAGTTTTTTACTGCTGGTGTAATCGCACCTGTAGAGTGGGAATCGCAGGTGCGAGTCCGCAGAAGCGAGGCAAGAGCCGCAGAAGCGGCCAAGGGAGAGGTGAGCAGAGGTCGTAGGTGCGAAGATTTTTCCGCACCCGCGAGGTCGCAGAAGCGGGCAGAAGGGCGCAGATGTGGGCTGGTTCCGCAGGTGCGATGGCATTTTTTGCACCTGCAATATGCGCAGATGCGGTCCAGGGCTCGCAGAAGCAGGGCAGCTGGTTAAGTGGATTTCGCAGAAGCGGAGATTTTACCGCAAAAGTGGTTTCGTAGGTGCGGATAAGTGGCCGCAAGTGTGAAAAAAATGGGGTGAATATAAACGTTGGGTTCCGAGGGTTTTATCATTTCTTAACTTTGCAAACTTGGAATTGGGCGATTATTTAGAGAGATTTTGAAGGGATTATTGTGGTAAGTCCCTTGTGCTCGTTTTTGATCAATAATCTTGTATCCCCATTGATTTTCCCACCTAGTTTGTGTGTTTTTGAGGTGTAATTTGAGAGTTTGAGGCTAAGGATTTGGAGAGTGAATTTTGGGGATTTGAATGACAAATTGGTGTCGGATTCTGGTATATTTGGTATGGTTAGACTTGTGAGTGAATGGACTTTTGGGTTTTGTGACTTTTATCGGATTTCGAGAGATGGATCCGAGGGTCGGGTTTGATTCGATTTTGGATTTTGGTTATAATTTCGTATTTTTCTTATGGAATTGATTATCTTAGCTCGTATTGATAGTATTCTACTGATTGTGTCCAGATTTAGGACATTTGGAGGCAAATTCGCGAGGCAAAGGGCATATTAGAGTAGAGTTTTGCTCGGATTGAGGTATGTAACAGTTCTAAATCTAGTCCTGAGGGTATGAGACCCCGAATTTTGTGTTATGTGATTATTTTGGAGGTGACCCACATGCTAGGTGACGGGCGTGTGGGCGTGCACCGTGGGAATTGTGACTTGGTCTATTCCGTAAAAATGTAAAGTCGAATAAACTTGTTGGTAGCTACATGCTCTCCATGTGTTATAGAAATTTGACTTTAAATCATAATAGAAACCATGTTTAGGCTATGTGTTGGTACTGTTGGGACCCATAGAGGTCGTGTTACTTGCTGAATTACCTGCTAATTTGTACTCCGTCTCAGTTTTTATTTGTATATCATATCTCAATTTCTATTATTCTTGTTGATACATCATATCATTGCTGTTTGGGCTGATTCTTATCATCACCGTCTTTTAGTTCCTTATTTATTATTGTTACTTACTGAGTTGTTGTACTCAGGCTACACCCTGCACTTCGTGTGCAGATCCATCAGTTTCTGGCTGCGGAGGGTGTTGATATTTCGCGTAGCTGACCATTGGAGATATCGAGGTAGCTGCCTGGCATTTGCAGTCCTTGTTTCTCCTTCCTTATTTTCTTTCTCTTCCGTTGTATTTAGACCTAGACTTGGATAAACACTTTATTTCTAAACTGGTGATATAATAGATGCTCATGGGCTCAGTGACACCCTAATATTGGGATCTATTTTCCACACTTATGTTTTGGGTTTTACCCCTGTTTATGAAAACTCTGCTCATTTAAAATTTATTGACTCATTTTCCGTTAAATATTGGAAATGTTTTGGAAATTTTCGGCTTGCCTAGTACCATCGATAGGTGCCATCACGACAGATTAGGATTTGGGTCGTGACAAGTTGGTATCATAGCCTAGGTTACATAGGTCTCATGAGTCATGAGCAGGTTTAGTAGAGTCTTGTGGATCGGTATGGAGACGTCTGTACTT